AGCCTTCATTTCCCAGGAAAGGGGTCAAACTCCCAGGTGTCTGCTGGCTCTCTATCTCTTGCCCTCTAGGTTGGGGGAGAGAACAAAAGACATCCCAGATGTTCTCCACCCTTCCGTCCGCAGGAGCTGGCCCAGCTCGGTTCCGATCCTTCACCCCCTGGCCGCATGGCTCCCCGGGCTGGGGGGGGAGATCTGAACCAAAGAAGGACGAGTCCTCCTGGGAATTCCGCTTTTAACCCCTCTGTGTTCTCAGAGGCGTGTCCACCTTCAATTGGTCACCCCAAGTGTCAGTATCCAAACCTGACCCCTGACTGGATTGACCTCTTCCTTCCAAAAAAATTCTTTTTCCATGTCAAACCACGACAGGCTGAAAGTGTTCCCTACTAGGCAAAAGCTCTGTGCCTCATGGGTGACTCCAGAAAATGTTTCTGGAGGAGCTGGATCTCACCTTGTCTTACCTGAGCAATTGCACCAAGGCTGTAACAAGGCCGATGGTCTCAGAGTGGATCAGCCATTAACCAGATCCTCCTTAAGATTGCCACAGCGATAACATAAATTCTTGGCTCCTTTTGGTGAGGTTTGATGTTAATGCCTAAAAGAATTTCCCAGAAGTTTCAACTTGCTGTTGGACATGCTACAAATAAAGCAGCAGCCAGGTTTCCACAAAGGCTTTCCCCAGTTTAGTGGGTTGCCTCTTGTTCCTGGCTGCTGATGAGAAGATGTGTGTGGAGAAAGGGTGCTCCTACCCATCCCTAGGACTAGAGAAATGAAAAAATCTGTGAAATGAGCCACTTTAAGGACTCCCATTCCTCACTGGCATTGTATCCTGCTGGATTAGCCAGCAAGCTCTTGGAATAAGAGGAAATTTAATTGCGACGTGTCCCTTCCAGGATTATGAGATGAAAGCGGATCCCTGTGGACATTGCCTGATCCTCAATAACGTCAATTTCTGCAGAGACTCGGGTCTGTCCACCCGAGAAGGCTCCGACATTGACTGTGAGAAGCTGGAGAGGCGCTTCAAGGCCTTGTGCTTCACCGTCCTGACCCGGCGGGATCTGAAAGCTCAGGTGAGGCTGGTTGTGTCCTGCTGACACAAGGGATGAGAGGTGAGCCCCTGGAAGTGATGGAAATGCTTTGGGGGATGTGTCTTGTGTTTTGGCAACCTCCCACAAAGAAACAATGAACCACTTGCATCCTCTTACTTTATTGTTGCGCTGCAATTGCAGAAGGGGAGAGGACCTTGCACATTTTCATCTTACTGCATGACTGTTGAATCCTGGTTGGGATTTGTAGGGATTTGGTGAGGCTGTGTTTTTGGGATAGCTTGGACAACTGTATCATGTCTGTCTGTGCCATCCTTGGCCGTTACTGGAAGCATCAGGGGAAACTTGATCATCTGAAAGTAGAACATGGTTCTCTGCTCACCCACCAGCTCCCAGTCAGAAGCAGTGGATTTCATCAGATAAATCATGTGGAAATGTGCTTTGGTTTGTGGTGCTGTGTTGTAAAGAGTGTAGAGAGGTGAGAAATCTGTGTGATTAAAGCAGACAGTGTTAAATAAGGGCAGAGATGCAGAAATACTCACTCTCTGCCAATGGCTTTTGCCAGCTGTACTTGGGGCTCATGCTATCCTGTGGCAGAGATTGGATCCATGGCAGTGCAATTAGAACAGGGCCTGGCAGTAACCTGTGGCCAAGATATGGTTCAAAAGACTGTTGTGATGTTTTCCACACAGGAAATGGTGTTAGAGCTGCTGAAGCTGTCACGGCAGGACCACAGTGCTTTGGACTGCTGCATTGTGGTCATCCTTTCCCATGGCTGTCAGGTGGGTTTGTCCCATCTCTCCCCACTTTGTTCTATGGCATGGGAAAGAGTTAATTCTTTGTCCTGTGGTCTCACACAGGGTGAGAGGGAAGTGGTCTGTCAAAACCTTTCAAAGAGTTACACCCTTATTTGGGGTTAAAGAAAACAAGAGCTTCTCTGGTGTGGTCTGATCCAGTGGTGCCAGTGGACAAGTGTTTTCTGTTTTGGAAGCTGGGGCTGATAATTTGTAACTGCAGGGAGGTCTCACTCAGCCTCGCACTGTGGTGATTCAGTCCTTCCTGTTCTCCAGCTCTGACAGGGAGATGCCATTAGCAATAAAACCTGTTTATTCCAAGTCATTTCTGGAAGGATGAGGAGAGGCATTCTTAGGAAAATGGTGTATGGTATGTGCCCATTGTACCAGAGGATGAAGAACTCCTTTGCTGGAGGATGTGGGATATATGATATATCCAATATGAGTTGGATAACAGAAGTTGGATTGCTGGGTTTTAGTGCATTTCAAATGTCTCCTGGATGTCCCCTCACCCTGTCTTGGCTGCAGGGATTCCCACAAACACCAGGATTTGTTCTGGTACCTTTATGCCATGAAGCACCTGACGGGAAACGGGCTGCCTCAGACCTGGCCTTGCCTTCCATGTCTCTAGTTCCTGCATTTTCCTCTTGCAGACGAGTCATATTCAGTTTCCTGGAGGCGTTTACGGAACGGACGGAAAACCCATTCCCATAGAAAAGATTGTGAACTATTTCAATGGGTCCAGTTGCCCGAGTTTGAGAGGAAAACCCAAACTGTTCTTCATCCAGGCCTGTGGTGGAGGTGAATCTTTGTGTTGGCTCCAGTAGCGTTGGGCTGCAGAGATGTGGTCAAGCTGTGGCTTTGGCTCCCTTTCTGTTCACTGACTGTCCCCTCTCCAGCTGTCTTCTCACACCAGCTGCCTCTTCTCTTACCATGTTCTGAGAGGCTGCTCCAGCTCTTCACACACAGTGAGAAATTTGGTATAAACTACCAATGCCTTTGACTCAGCTGGTGCAGCTGAACAGCCAGAAAGCCTTACTTTGTTCTAGGGCCTTTGTCCTTTTCTTTCCCCATCTTTTCTTAATGTCCGACGTACAACTGCGAATCCCTTGGGTGGGATGAACGTCAGGAGCTGTCTTGTTGCTGCTTTTTTCAGAACAAAGGGATCAAGGCTTTGTAGTGGACTGTGATTCACCTAAAGAGGAAGCTCTTGGCGATTCCTTGGAATCAGACGCAATCCCGTTTCGGGTTCCGTCGGATAACGTGGATGAGCCTGATGCCATTGCCAGTTTGCCCACACCTAGCGACATCTTGGTTTCCTACTCAACTTTTCCAGGTAAAACAGCCTGTGCAAATCCTTTCCTGAGCATGGGGAATTTGCAAAACAGTCAGAGCTTCATGGCAATTCAGGACAGCCCAGCTCTGTTGCAGCGGCAGGAACTTGTTGGAATGAGAACAGCAGATAGGTTTTGGCATAACATTCTCCTTCTTTCTCTGAAGGTTTTGTCTCCTGGAGGGAGAAGTCAAGTGGCTCGTGGTATGTGGAAACGCTGGACAGTGTGCTGGAGCAATATGCCCATTCAGAAGATCTGCTCAGCATGTTAGTGAGGGTAAATGTCTTTTTTGTTCTGCTTTTTGTTGATAAAGGAAATAGTCAGGGGTATGACCAGTTGGGGCATAGAGGCCTACCCTAAGAGAAGGAGTGAGGATATTGAGTGTTGAGTTTAGGGATGGGCTCATTGGAGGTACTGCAGAGAGGTCTAATTACAAAGAAAGTGTCTGGCCTCAATCTGCCAAAAATCACTGGAGGTTTCTCCAGTGAGGAGTAATCTTGGCAATACAGGCTTTAATCCTTCTGAAGAAATTGCTAAAAAATGTCATGGCTTGTCCTATCCAGGCTGACAAGATTTGGGTGCTCCTGTAAGCTTGTCCTGGGGGTGGAGGAGCACAAGGGATATGGAATGAGTCTGGCTAATCAACATATTCCTTTGTGTGCCTTGTTGACTCAATATTGCCAAAGTTGCATACAAGCGTAGATGCCCCAGATACTTTTTCTGTTCTCCTTGGGTAGGAGAAAAGCCCAATGTGGAGGGAGAGAGGACTTACAGAATCACCTTGTTGTTTTCTGGTTGTTGCGGTGCTTCTTTGGACACCTTGGCATGGCAGCCATTGATTCCAAGGGATGGGAAGAGCATCCTGTTCCTCAGCCTCTTTTCTGTTCCCAGGTGGCACATGCTGTCTCTGCCAGGGGGAGGTACAAGCAGATCCCGGGATGCTTTAATTTCCTCCGTAAAAAATTCTTCTTTGTGTGCCGCTGACACGCAGGCTCCGAGCCCCCTGCCAAGCACTGGGGATTCTTCCTGTGGCTGAGTGAAATCTGTGCCCACCATGACTTGGTGTCAGTGCTCCCTGTGGATTTGGTCTGTGTGTCCAGATGTTTGTCTGGAGAAATGTGAGTGGTGAGCGCTGCCTGTGCCATGGAGTGGAGATGAGATGGAGATTGTGCTGTGCCAATGGGAAATGTTGAGGATGGAGCACAAAGTCCCTTTGCTGGAGAACAGAGCCAGAGTAGAACACTTCTGGCATGGTCACCCTTGGCCTCAGTGTTTTCCTTTGCTGATCATGATATTTGTGTCCTGTGCTGCCCAGGTGATTGATTGATGGGACCAGGGTGTGATGTTCAAGTGAAATAGGATGAGTTTTGCAGTCAATGTTTCTAATAAATGCAATTAAAGAGCAAATCTTTGGCTGTGTTCCCTTGTCTGTTCCATCTCCTCATGGCCATTTCAGCACCTCCTGAAGGCTCCTCTGAAGTGGGAAGAGTTGGAACCTTCACTCATGTCTGTGCTGCTCTGTGTGGCTGTTTACAATGTGGCTGTGCCAGCCTGTGGAACATCCTGCTCCTTTTGAGGAGTCAGGAGTTATAGCAGGAAACTGATGAGGGTTCATTGAGATACCAGTGCTGATGTAAAGTACTTAAGGAGCTGCTGTGATGATGGCCTTGGGTCAGAAATCCTGCATCTGTGTTGGATTTTGACTGGGGAAAGCAACCTTGGGGCCACCCTTGGGAGGTGCAGAGGCCTTATGGTAGGTTTGTGCTGAGGGGTGCTTGGGGATTCCCAGGTGTTCTGGTTTGAAAGCAAAGCCAGTGAGAGACTCCAAGTCAGAAATACAATTTATTGGGAAAAGGGAAAAATACAAAAATACGTGCAGTGATACAAAAGAAAGACCACTGACAAAGTCAGAATACAACCTGACACCCTCTGGCCAGCGTGCTGGTAGCAGTCCAAGTTGGAGTGGCTGCAGTCCTCTTGGGATGGCAGATGTTGTTGCTGTGTCTTCTTGGAAACCTGTGGAAAGGCTGCTTCTCTGCCTAGAAATCCCCGGTTTTATCCAGGTGGGAATGCCGAGCTCCTCCCCCCTGGGTGGAGCATCTCACAATGGGCTGGTGTTATTCTGAGTCACGGGGTGTGTCCTTAATCACCCCTTAAACAGAACTGGCTCCTGGAGAGTTTATCTCTGAGCTATGGGGCGAGACATTGATGGGCCCGTTAACAGGAGATAAGGAAAACTGCCCAGAGGCAACTGCTACTCGGATGGTGATAGGAAACATCTTGGTGCTCCAGTCTTGGACACCAGGGAACCTGGGAATATCCAGACTGCTTTTGCAGTCACTGAGTATTTCCCCGCTCCTTTGGGAGCATTTCAGGTACTTTGAGGGTGCCGCAGGAGGAAGCCAGGGCTGCCTGAGCACCCCAAGGAGGGTCCAGCTGGAGCTGGGGTGCGGCTGTGATGGCCTTGCCTGTGCTCAGGTGTTTGTGAGAGCTCATGGTTGTGTCCTTTTCTATTCCCCTTCTCCATCCCCCAGGGGAGTGAGGCTCTGGGCTGCCCCGTCCCATGTTGTCCAGTTTTGTACAGAGCATCTAGGTGTGCAAGTGACTCCAGGGCTGATCCCATCTCCCCTGGACTTGCTCTCCTTTAGGAAAGGTGACCCTGCACTCTTCCCCTTGTTTATTTCCCCACTTCCCTCACTAAGGAAGCATTGGGACTGGGGTGGGGGTGACTTTGAGTACAGCCTTGTCCCTCTCCTTTCAGTGACATGGACTGCAGGGGCTGCTCCTTCCCCAGGGCATCCCTGGCAGAGGTGAGAACAGAGTGGGAGCACTCCGGTGCACAGGTGGTGGAGGGAATGTGGTGGGGCTGTAAAATGACCCTCAGGACCAAGCCAGTTACCTCAACACTCCAACTATAAGCCTGCTGCCATCAAATAGCCCAGTTAACCAGCCAGTTAAGTAGAAAGATGCCCTGAAATATGCCAGCACCAGCCAAGACACCTAAAAACTCCTTGGGCCCAAGTTCCCTAGAGGCCCCCTGGACCACCAGGCCAGACTCCAGCCACTCTCCCATCAAACCACCATTCAAGCCTTGGACCCTTTGGCTTGGCAATGGCCATGGATCTACTCCTAGCTGGGAGCACCTTGTGAGATCTCTGCCCAGGAGCCTGCCCAGCCTCACTGCACAAGGTGGGGGCTCTCCCCAGCACACGGGCAGAAGCCCAGGACCACAAGCCCAGACCACAAGCCCCCTGGCTATGCTCCACTGCGTCCCCTCGAAAGAACCACGTGACACCAAGTTAGCACTATTGCCTTTATCACACTCAACGCTTGTGCTCCATGCTGTGTCCTCAGTTCGTGCTCATTTTCTGCCAAAGAAAGACACGGAGAGGCTCACGGTGAGACTGCTGGCAGGGCAGGGGCAGTGTGGACAAACCCCTGTGGGGGCAGAGGAAGGGGCACCCACCTCGTTGATCCAGTCCATGTAGGCGGACACCCGCGTGAAGACTGTTGGCTTCCTCTTGAGGTTGCAGCCGAAGCTGGAGCCGAAGCTGACGATGCCGTCCACCTCCCAGAGCCCATCATCGCGCTGGCAGTTCAGGGGGCCCCCAGAATCGCCCTGTGCCGAGAGATGCTCTGTGCCATTGCTCCTGGCCCCTGCTGACACTCCCCTCATCCCTCCTGGCCATCCGCCGGCATGGCTCCATCCCCTCTCCTCCCAGAGCCCGCGGTTCCACACCATTTTGGCACACCTCGTGCAGTGCCCACACTCACGTTGCATCCAGAGACGACGCCGTCGCCGCCGGCGCACACCATGCTCTCGTACACAAGGTCGCCCCACCAGTCCCACTCGGAGCAGGTCTCGTAGTCCACCACGGGCAGCAGAGCCTGCTGCAGGATGTCGGCCAGGGGCCCGTTGGCTGCAAGGACAGCCAGAGCTCGTACCTCACACCCTGTGCCTGCATCCCCTTCCCGGGGACCCTCCGGGGACACCCCACTCACTCCTCATGCTTCCCCAGCCGGTGACATAGCAGGGGTAGTTGTTGGGCAGGATCCTGTCAGCAGGCGGCAGGCAGGCGATACGGATGGTGTCGGTCTCCTGCACCTCCTCTGCCAGCCTGACCAGGGCAATGTCGTTGCTGCAAGGAGACACAAACCATGGTCCCTGGCCGTGAGAACAGGGTCCCTAGACACGGGGACAAGGGTCTGTGGCCACATCACCCACGACCGAGCCCTGATGCACCACATCCCCTACACGATGTAGTAGGAGTCCCAGTCCTCATGGACAATTATCTTCTCCACAGCCACGGCCACAGAACCAGGCTCATCAGCCTCTGACACGTCCTGCCTGCCCAGCGCCACACGGTAGGTCATGGAGGAGCTGCCAGGGAGAGAGGGGGTGTCAGTCCCCACAGATACCTTACCTCCATGGCACAGATGCCCCCCAGCACCCCAGCACCCACCTGATGCAGTGGGCAGCTGTCAGCACCCACTGGGGGGCAATGAGGGTCCCACCGCAATAGTGGCTCCAGGACCCAGAGCGGCGGGTCTGCAGTGAGATCTGCGAGGGCAGAGGCACAGGGTCAGGGCAGGAATGTCCCCATCCCTGTCCCCATGCCCGTCCCCGTGCCCCCTCACCTGCCATGGCCAGCTGTGGGCTACAGCGTCTTCACCGCCCACCACGCGGGAGCTCAGCTGTGGTGGCACGGCCGGCTGACCGCATCCGTAGGCTGTGTGACACCCGGCAGAGGGACATCAGAGGCTGCCTGTGCCCGTGCCCAGGGCCAGGGCAGGCCCCACGATCGTGTCCTCCCTGCCCTGACCCTTTTCCATGCCCTGCACCTACCGTAGCCCAGCAGCACGATGAGACAGACGGCTCGCAGCATGGTTGCGTGGAGGAAAGGTGCTGTGGTGGGGCTGCTCACCCTCTTATAGTGTCCAGACCTTGCTGGGGACCTTGGAGTGTCCCTGCCTGCCACTGACACGTGGGGACTGTCCCACACTGTGGGCACAGGGGCTCCTCAGCCCAATCAGCCGCCCTTATCGCACTCACCGTCCCGCCTGGGAATGGCCACATCTGCCCGTCATGTGCTGGGACATGGTGGGGACACCTGGCCCTGCTCTGGGAATGGGCAGGGTCCCTCCTGGGGCACAGCTGTTGGGCAGCCCCCACCCCTGGTGCTGTCAGTGTGGTGTTGGCAGCCCTGCTGCCCCCTGTGCTGAGCAGCGACTCCCCCAGGACAGTGCCCAACCCGTGCCAGCACCTCCCAGGCACAAGGTCCCCTTATCTCAGCCTTGATATGGTGAAGACCCACCCAAACTGCTCAGGTGCCATGGGGTGGGACCGGTGCAGGTATCAGCAGCAGTGCCCATGGCCTTCGGTAGCCCCACATCCCCACAGCTGCATCAGGCACCTGCTGCTTCCCATACCGGTGAGCCACGGCTCAGCCCGTTCAGTGCCACCATCCCTGGTGGGAACTGCGTGCCCACGGTCACACCCCACGCCCCAGGTTCCTTCCCCCCACCCACACCCCTGCCGCAGACATGCCCATCCAAGAGCTGCATCCCAGCAAACAGCACTTAAGAAATATAATATTTATTTGGGATTAAATTAAAAAAAACCATAACACACCCCCTATACCGCCACTCGGGGGACACCATGGGACAGATGTGGGTTTTTACAGCCACCCACAAACACGAGGGCCTCAATGACCAATGGCAGCCACTTGTGGCCACCACACTCATCCTGCCAGGCTGAATATAACATAAAAAAACATAGTACAGCCCCATGAGCCAGCAGCTGCCTTTCTGTACGTCTTTGTCCAAAATAAAGAGAGACACAGCTCCTGAGGGGCTCCATTTCAGCGGGGTGGGCATGCACCCCCAGCACCACACACACACACACACACACACACACACACACACACACAAACACACAGAGCCCCTCTACCAGCACCTGGCCCTTGCCATGGCTTTTGTACTGGTGTCAGACATAGCAATACCAACAGATGCTGAGCCAGTGTGGCCACCGAAACACCCACCGTGGCCACCTGCACAAGCCCCCATTCTGCACACCTCCCAATGCACTCACAGCATAAAACAGTCTGGGCACAGGTGTCCCAGGGACAGACATCCTGCACACGGCTCCCCTGGCACTCAGCACAGCAACCCCCAGTGCAGCTGCGGGCAGAGAACAGGGCGCTGTTCAGGGTGGGGGGCACGCTGGGGAGGTGGGGGGCACGGACAACACCTACAGACACCACAGCAAGAGGGGAGGGAGGCTGGGGCTGGCCGGGCTCTGCCAGCGAGGTGGGCGCTGTGCCCAGCCCACGCCGGGGCCCTGCCCACAGCCCGGTGGCACACGGCTCGGGCATCGCTCCCGGCGCGGCTGGCACGGGGCACAGGCAGCGCTGCCAGCCTGGCACCGCTGACCAGTCCTGCCTGGCCCTGTCACTGTGTGAAGGTGGACTGCAGCTCCTTGAAGGCTGCCTTCCTCTGCTTCAGCTCCTCTGCCTGCTTCTTCTTCTCCTCCTGCTCTGCCTTGATCTCCTCCTCGAACCTGCTGGCTTCGTTGATGGCTTGTGCCTGCAGATGGAAATGTTCAGCTGTGACCTCTGCCAAGCTCTCCTGCCCACCCCAACATCTCCACCTCCTGCTTACCCAGCACCCAACTGCCCTGGTGCATTGCTACCTTGCAGTGGGACCTCCTGAGCCCTGCCTCACCTTGGCCTCAAAGAAGTTCTTGGCGCCTTTCACCCCCTCTGTGGAGACGTCGATCTCGGAGAGCCGGGCCAGGGCGTGCAGCCCACTGTCCTCCTGCAGCTCACCCGCTGCTGCCTTCCGGAAAATCAGCAGGAACTGCAAGGGAAGATGGTAGCATTGGCTCCCTGAAGACCTCAAAGCTACCACAGCCACTGCCCACCTTCTCACCAGCCCAAACAGTGGCTGGGGACATCTCCTTGCCACTGTGGAGCCTCCTATCCCCTCACCTCTCGAAAACTGAGCTTGCTGTCCAGGTCTTCATCCACCTCCTTGATCATGTTCTTCAGTCCCAGGTGTGTCTGTGGAGCCCCCAGCTTCTCCATCATCAGCTTCAGCTCCATCAGGTCAATGAAGCCATCTTTCCCTGCGTCGTACCTGCAGGATGGCAGCACAATCCTGACACATCACCAGGAGGTGCAGAGCCCACACAGCCCCCCACACCGGCCCCCCAGCAGCAGAGCCCTGTGTGCTCTCACGCTGGCTGGGAAGCAAAGAGGGATCAGCAAGGACTTGGGCACTGATGGCCACTGGCAGCTCTCCAGACCACGGGGAGCTGCCTCTGAACCGCTAACAGCCCCCCGGAGCATTATCCAGTGTCGCGCCTGTTTCTGTGCGGCACTTGGCAGGAGAACCTCCAAGGATGCTGCCAAGCCTGCTGCCAGCTCCCTGTGCCAGGAGCCTGGGCACACGCTCCCCGTGGCTGCAGCATGGGATAACAAGCCATGGGGCTAAGCCCACCGGGCACTGCTCCCCAAGTCACAGTGAGCTCTGCTCACTGATGTTACCTACAGACCTGTCAGGAACGCCCCTCCTCAGACTCCTGCCCGTGGCCATGCCACAGTCCCCTCCAGCTTCCCCAGCCACCCTGCTGTTCTCTCCCCTGCCCACTGCCTGCGCACCGTGGGCTGTGCCAGCAGCGTGCTGGCGTGGCACAGCAGGATCTCCACGGAGAGCCAGCACAGAGCCACGCTTTGTACAGCTCCACACGTTGTAGGTGGGCAGCTACACACTGCACCCGTTGTGACAAGGCTTTTTTTTTGTATCTTATCACTGCAGCAGCCACACAGAGCCCCAGCTCCCCATGCCATGACTCATCTGTACCTCCCCTGCTGCTGTCTGCTCTGTCCATGTCTCCAGCAGCACTTTCCTGATCTGCCAGGGACCCCAAAACGGGGCTGGTCCTGCTCACCCCTGCCTGCTGCCAAAGTGGGGCTGTGGGTACAGATCCCACATGATTTTTGCCTCTAGTACCCCTCTTGGAACATAGGATCATAGAATCATGGAATGGTTTGGGTTAGAACAGACTTTAAAGACCATCTCATTCCAACCCCCTGATGTGGGCAGGGACACCTTCCACAATCCCAGATTGTTCCAAGCCCTGTTCAACTGGGCCTTGGACACTTTCATGGATGGGGCAGCCACAGCTTTTCTGGACAACCTATGCCAGGGCCTCACCACTCTGATGGAGATAACTTCTTCCCAGTATCCAAACTAACCCTGTCCTCTGTCACTTGGGAAGACTTTCCTCCTTGTTCTGTCGCTCCATGCCCTTGTCCAAAGTCCTTCTCCATCCTGCATCCCACAGAGTTTCTCTGCAAGGGGCGAGTTAGCTGGCCTGACTTTGCCACTTTATCCCACACAAGTCACCTCCCCAGCTGCAGGGCACTTCCTTTCCCTCAATCCTGTCCTCTGCTTTTTGGGATACCGGCATCCTGCAGAGGGCAGAGAGCCAAAAGCCTTCCCCGCATCACTTTATCCTCTAGAGCCGGATTGTCACATCCCGAGGACAGTGTGGCAGGGATCTGCTCCAGAGCATCCTTCCCTAGGGAAAGCCCCCAGGCTCCCAAACCTCCGCAGCTCTCGCAGCCCCGGCGCTGCTCCTTTGGCTGCCGACACCCGCAGCACCCCGGCACGGCCACGCACCACCCGCGGCACCGGCAGCGGCCCCGCCGCGGGTTCCCTCTGCTGCAGTGCACGGCTCGCAGCCCCCCAGGAGGACACGGGGAACAGGGAGGCTCCGTGCACGCTGACATGGCCATGCCTGCACCCCACGCAGCCCCCCAGCCTTGTGTTTCGGGGGTCACCGCTCCCAAGCCCCCCGCTCGGGTCCGAGCGTGACCACCCAGGACGCGGATGCGGATCCTCCCCCCGGTGCCAGGCGGGCTCAGGGGTATGGGAATGTCGCAGCTATGCCTTCGCCCGTGCTGTATCTCCGCGCTTCCCGGAGCCGCGCTGTCTCCACGCCTCCGGCACACCCAGCGCGGGATCCGTGGGGATGCTCCGGCCGGTCCCGTTCGCCCCTGGCTACCCCCGCGCATAGCAGGGTGACCGCGGCTGGAGTCACCCCGATTTCTGGCTCCCCCCGTTAATCTCCCAGGCTGGAGGCTTGCTGCCAGCGCCCCCCGTTCCCAGGGGCCCGGGGCCGAGCTCGTGCTCCGAGTCACGATCCGCCACGCGTGGTGGCACGCAGCGCGGGCAGGGATGCTCAGGACACGCCAGCCTGGCCTCTGCGGCCCCGGGAGCTGCAGGGACGTGGGATCCCTCGGTGATGCGGCACAGGGAATGTGGGGCTCCCCGGTCCCCTCCTTCCGATCCCTTTCTCTAGCCTCAGCACCAGGGCATCCCCTCATGGGGGATAGGAGGCTCCTTCTGCAAGAATTTAGGGGCGCACAGGAATGCCTCCTACAAGGAGCGGGGGGAATGTGTCCCCGACACCAATGCTGGGAGGGGTTGTGGGAGGAGAGGGGTGTCCCTGGCATCCCTCCTGAGAGGGGCAGGAGAGGGATCCCTCCCGCAAGGAATTGGGGGTGCCTTGGCATGCCTGCTGCACAGAGCTGGGGCGGGGGGGGTCTCCGACAAGGAGCCGGGGGATCCCTGCCGCAAGAGGCTGGGGTGCATGGGGGTCCCTGTCACAAGGAATAGGGGGTCCCGCCCGCAAGCACGGGGCAGGAGACGCTGGTGCATCTGCCCTGCTAGGAGCCGGGACACCGGGGATGCAGGCACCGGGATGCCCGGGGTGCCCCGTCCGCCCCGGCGCTGCCATCCGCGGATCCCCCTCTCCCCGTGCCCCACACTCACTGTCGGAAAAGCCGTTCCATGTCGCGGAGCTGCCGCCGGGAAAACTCGCGGAACTCCCCGGCGGGGCTGAAGACGCGGCGGCCGCCGCCCCCGGGCGAGCCCTCGGCCACCGCCCGCCCCGCGGGGCTGCCCGGTGCCGGCCCCGGCCGCGGCCCCCGGCCCCGCCGCCCCTCGGGCTCCTCCGCCGCTGCCGCCATGGTGCGGTGCCCGGATGGCCGCGCCGCTCCGCCCCGCTCCGCCCCGGGGCCGGGCTGCGGCCCCGGCTCCGCTCCCCCGGCGGCTCCGCAGGGCTGCCCTCCCCGTCAGCATCCCTCCAACACCCCCTCCCCTCCACCGGCAGCAGCGGCAGGGCTCATCCATCCCCCGGCGGGACCAGCCTCGCATGCCGCAGGGCCCGGCATCACCGCTGGGTCCCATACCCCGGTGGGATCCCCCCACACTGAAACGTAAACTTTAAGGCATTTAGAGATTTTGAGGAGCTAAGAGAAATAAGTCTTACTAGAGTTAATTAAAAAAAAAATAATAATAAATGAGTAGTCCTTGATGAAGTTAGGAGTTAGTAGTTAACTAATAATTAATTGCTTGTCAGCACAATGTTTAGTTAGCTGGGTTTATAATGAAGAATATAGAAACTGATAAATAGCTTTTAGGAACATAAGACAATTGTGGGCCTCCTCTGTTCTGAAACCAATTGAAGACAAGGAATGGGAGTTCTACCAAGAGTTCATTTGTCATACTTGCATTGAAAAGGTAGAAAGGTCAGAATGAGGAAGACTTCATTTACTTCCTCATTTTGGGACCCCTCCCCATGAAAGGGACCACCGAGCCATTTCAAGGCACAAACTACACGTGCTTAATAGCTTTTGGAGTGATTAGCGTACGAAGTGGGGAATGGGATGTACCAAAATTATGAATATGTATTTGTATTTTGTGTATTCAATACTTGTATGGATAAAAAGACTCTGTAATCACCTGGAGGGTGCGGTGTGGATTTGGGAGCGATCCCGCACGCTGCCCGGCGTCGAATAAACACACACTTTCTAACTTTAAACTGTTAGAGAGTTTTTGTCTGTCACAGTTGGATATCGATACTAGATCAATATCCATATCTTTTTAATAAATCAACACCACCTTTAGGGTCCCAAACCAACCCATGTCTATGAGTCCATAGGCTCGAAGGAGGGTACGGGGAGATGGGGAGTGTGGTACACTCACAACCACCTGTGCTCTTGCCAACTCCGTCCATTCCTGACCCAGAATTTGGCAAGGGTGGCATGGGGAGGACACACACAGTCATGGAGCAGCCCAGCATCATCTCCACACAGATACACCTGCAGAGGATGCCCACGGCAGCACCTTTAATGTACACAAGCATACAAGGTCATGTCTTGCCCCAGAGTAAACCCAGGCATACAGACAGGGAAGCATCCGGCTTCTCCCAGCACATGGAGCAGGAAAACCAGGCCACACCAACGCCCAGGGCCCCACTAGGGACTGGCCACTGTGCACATGTGGGTGCTTCGCTGCCCAGAGAGGATGCAGCCCTGCATCAGCCTGCTGCAGCCCTCTGTGTTGCTTCCAGACCTTTTTTATCCTGTTAAAAAATAAAGACCAAGAAACCCCAGTGGGGCTTTGCTCACATCCAAATTATGCTCAGCTGAAGAGGACTCGGCACATGGACTGCTCGGAGCGGTGCTGAGGCAGATTGGCTGCAGGGATGATGTGCTGGGGCTGCATACCGCCTGCAGGGACTCCCTCCCCAAAACACTGCTGCTTCCCAAAATCCAGGGGCTGCTCTCGCCCTTAGTAAGGACAAAAATCAATAAGTGAGCTTGTGCCATCACCCCACCCCCGCCACCAGCACATTGCTCTCATCTCCCCAGCTTGTCCTCGTGCTCCTGTAGTACTGGTGTGGCTGACAGAGGTCCTCTTCTTCCCTCTTCCTCGGTGGCAGGTCCAGCATTCCTGGGGTGTTCCAGGAACTCCAGAATTCCGTCCTACATCATGCCTTATGTTCCAGTTTCCCTGTGACATGATGGAGATATAGGAGTTGCAAGGGATATTTCGAGCCATGATTGCTCGCTGTGCTTGAGGCCACTTCAGCAAGGACAGGACACACTCCCCACAACTGACCTCACACACCCAGGGCTGTATTCACACACACAAATACACACACATGTGCCCTGGGTATATCCTCACCACCTTTTCCACTGCCATAAATTCTGCCACACTTTATGGGACATGGACTGTGGGAAAATAAGGTCCTACATCGTAGAGTCACACCAGTATGCCCAGGAGCTCCTCAAAATGCACCCTCACCTCATGCCACCTCCACCCTCTCAGAGCCCACACTGATGACTGTTCCTACTGCAAACACCACCTAGTGAAGGTCCCCGTGGTGCTGCTCCTATGAGCTTCCTGATTTGACAGCATCTGCCATGCACTCCTCGGCCTTCGGCTGGCCTGAGCAGAGTCTTTGTGGCTCCAGGCTGCAGAACAGAGACAACAGACACAGCATTGACCACGAGAGCTCAGCATGACCTGCTCTTCTCCCTTGCCCTCATACATGGTGCAAACCCATTGCTACAGGTGTCTGCACCTCCTCCAGCTTCATCAGGGGATGCTGCGGCTGAGCTCTGGGGGCCTGGAACCTGCAGCCTCTTGGGATGGTCCGACTGACCACTCTGAGGGTGGTTCCCAACAGCTGGAGCTCTGTCAAGAGCAGGAGTTGGGTGTTCCCTTCTCACCTTGTGCCGTTTGGCCACTTGCTGCAGCCTCTTCTCCTGGTCCAGCTGGAGCTGTGTCCTCTCCAGAGCCTCTCGCAGCAGAGCCTTCTCCTCTGCCTCCCTGTGGGCTTCATCTTCCAGCCTGGACATCTCCTCCTGGCACCTTCGCAGGGAAGTTTGGCTCTGCCTGAGCACAACAGGAGGGGAGGATTCTGTTGGTCTTTTGCCCTTATCACCCCCTGACCCTCAGCTGGGCTCTCCCACGCCCTCCTTGGTCCTGCTGCCCCAGCTGCTGCTGTCCCAGGCTCCAGACACCCAGGACAAGGGAACTTGTCAAGGCTTTCCCGGCTCTGACACTGCTCAGCTGTGTGAGGCTGCAGAAGGTACCAGTGCAGAAAACCAGGAGGACCTTTCCCCACTCCTCTTGAAGTTTGACTTTTGTACCGTGGCCATAGACACAGATTGGTCCCAGACACACACAGGACTCAGCAGCGTCATGTCACTTCTATTTCACCCCAGTCTATTTTAAAGCTATTTTGTATATTATATTAAAGCTATTTTGTCCCAATCTCCCTTGGCATCCAAGGACCAGGTCTTCTTCAGAGCCCTGACTTTCCATACCTGAGCTGCTCCACAGTTCCCTCATAATTTTTCAGCACTTCTTCTTTCCTTTCCAGGTGAACCTGGAGGTTCCTGATCTTTTTGTACAACAGCTCCAGGGCATTCTGTCTCTGCAGTCCCACTTCTGCCCTTCTCTCCTGAGGAAGGTGCAGAGGCTGCATTCCTGACAGCTCCTTCATCTCCACCAGGCTTCCCAGAGCACCGATCACATCAAGGTACTGTGGGAAGAAGAGGGAATGCATTATTTACCAGGTCTGCTGCATTCCACCACGCTGCTCAGCCATCTGCTTTCTGTCTGCTTTCCTGAGGACATGACAGTGTCCCAAGGAAAGTAGGTTTGCATCTCATTCCCAGCTGCACAGCTTACTGGGATTGGATTGCTTCCTTTTCTAAGATGACTGTTCTCCCTGCTGGGTGTTTCCCTGCATTTTTGGAGGGAAGAAGCCCCGTTGCACAACCCACCAGCTGTGCTACCCATGGACCCCTTCCCTGGCAGCTCCCACCATTGCTCCCCAGGCTCTCTGATTCACCATGGCATGTTTTGGGGCCCCAGGATGTCCTGGCAGACACACAATGTGCTCTGGGTCATAGAATCAATGAATAGTTTAGATTGGAAGGGAAATGTAAAGATCATCAAACCAATCCCCCCTGCCATGGACAGGGATGTCTTTAACTGGACCACAGTGTAGTTCATCTTCAACATTCCTGCAGCATCCTAATGCAGGTGAAACCTCTGAAATGTTTCCAAAAAACATCTAAACTCTGAACACCCTGGACGTGTACACACACTCCACATGGTTTACCACATCTATCCCTGATGTACCATCTTCTCACCCAAGTCTGTTGCCTCAGCCATTTCCAAGCTCCCTGTGCTGTTGGTGATCCTGAACAAGCTCCCATAAGGAACATGGTCAGGAACCTGCACAGACAAGGAAAGATCCATGGAGCCCACTTTGGGCCTGGATTTTGGTCAAGTGGTTTGTGCCTCCCTTTCACCCCCTGGGAAAACCAGCCCAGTCCTGCTGTGGTCCAAACCTCGCTCAGCCCACGGCGTTCCTGCTGCTACTCCTACAGCACCAGTGCTGGTCCTGGTGGAGCTGCCACCCTCTGCAGGAGCACTGCCTGCCATCCATCAGGCTGCATCTCCTGCCTGGACTTCTTACTGAGCATCTCTGAACACCTATTTCTCCCCTTCCCAGGGCATACTTTCCAGACAAAGTCACAGGCATTATAAACCAAAAACTGCCCTCTACCTTGCCAGCCTGCAGTTTTTCTCCCAACACAGAAGCAGGTTCCAGCTCAAGACCTCTTTGTTGGACTATTTTCTCTGGTAAGTCTTTCATCTGGACCACCAGTGGCTCTGAATTGCTCTTCACAGCACCTGGAGGCAAACAAGCAGATGCCAAATTGTTCCACTCTCCACACAACTTTGAGGCTGCCCAGCTTTCCCAGACTCCCTGTGATGGTGGGTGTGGAATCCTCCCATCTCTCCTGATGGGAGACCCCTAAAAGTTCTGTGCCAGGAATGAGAGACAGATGGGACTTTTGGGTTTTTGGTTTTCAGGTTATTAATTATTTTTTTCTTATCAGAAGTTCTGCACGCTGTCTACATCTCAGACTTAGTGTACAAGGAGAAAGCACCAAAAGTCTCAAGACACACAGATTCAAGGTCTTTTAAAGCTATTTTGTCCAATTAACTCTTAGAAAGTACTTTAAATTCTACCTTTCTTCTAATAACTAATTATTTGTCTGCCCATGCAATATCTGCATTGCGGCTCTTTCTAACCAATCACTTTGTGCTCCCAACACTGCAGAAAATGGAGTATATGAAGAACAAGATCAGGCAATGCCCAAAATTCTCCATCTTGTCTCCTACCCACCTCCATACTAAAAACCCAAAACTCTAAGTATTTCAGCCTGTGATAAACTATACTACAATCTATTTCACACACTCGTAGATTCCAATTCGTCCCAAAGTCTTGGAAGCTTTCTCCATGGACGAAGGTTAAAAGCAGCATTCTCCTGGGGATCAGGAGTTCTCAGGACAGGCAGAAAAATATTCTGTGTGCCCTGGCTTCCAACAGGTGGTCAGGCCCTGGCACAGGTCACCCAGAGCAGCTGTGGCTGCTTCATGCCAGGATGGACAGGGCTTGGAGCAGCCTGGAATAGTGGCAAGTGTCCCATGGCAGGGGTGGAACAAGACGGTCCTTAAAGTCTCTTCCAGCCCAAACCATTCCACAGTTCTAGGAGAGCCCTGCTCACCTGAGCCCTGTCTGTTCTCCAGCACCTTCACCCTCTCCCGGAGCTCGGCCAGACCTGCTTTTTGGCGCTGGATCGTTTCCTCGTGCCTGAGGCCTTGGCACTTGGCACCGAGCTCAGCCAAGTCTGATGGGGGCTCCTGAAAGAAGGCAGGTTCTTGCCCAGTCTGCATCTGGCACAGCACAAGCTCAGTGTAAACACAGCCCTGCTGCAGACACGGGGCACTTGGCACAAGATCAAAGCCTGGGGAGCATCTCTGTGGATTTACAGGGGTATAAGAGACTTGTCAGAGACCTCTTTCCTGCTCTCCTGTGCCATGGTCAGGACATGAACCTGTCGGAACTCAAAATGTCCCTCAGACCTTTTTGGAGGTTCCAGGCCCAGGTCAGAAGCATTTGAGACCCTGGCAGGCAGCTGGAAACAGCTGTGATTTTGGGTTTGAGCCCTGGAATGATTTACCAACCTTGCAGGAAGAACAAGAAGTCACAAAAGTTTAGATATTAGAGTAGAAGTAGTCACAAAGTAAAGGGAAGAATATTTGAGTGCTGTACAGGGCAGTTTTGGTTTTGTACATGGGAGTCAGAGGTTTTAAGATGGAGGGATTTGGGCCTGCCCTGTCCTCTCTCTTTCTTCTTCCTTCCCTCCATGTTCTTGGTGATGTTGGCACTCACAGGTTGGTTTAGAGTAGAAAGGCACCATTTAATATAGGTAATGGGCATTGGGGAAAAACTGTCACATGTAACACGTAATGTACCATATAAAAGATAGAAAAGCACCATTTAATATAGGTAATAGGCATTGGGGAAAAACTGTACCCATGTAACACGTAATGTACCATATAAAAGACAGCAGCAGCCCTGGGCAGGGGGAGAGAAGAAGCAGTCGGGAGTCAGAGAGGATGTCAGGGTGTGTGTGTGCCTCTGCCTGAGCTGTGAGCAAACCACAGCAGCCCCAGAAGAAAATCTTTTAACTTGCAATAAACTGCCTTGAGACTGAACAACAGAGACTGCTGAGCCTTTCTTTGGAAGCACGGGGTGGAGGAGAGACTTTTCCACCACACTGAGCCACCCCTGACCTAGAGGTGAGCTCTAGCATGAACCCTGCAAATGCTCTGGAGAGCCAGGAGAGGGTTGGTGCACAGCTCTGAACAGCCTCTGTTGGCGTTTTCCCCTTGTCCTTTGCACCACCAGAGAGCATTTGCCATCTACACACAAACACGGGTGGACTTCAGAGGCCGTGTCCCTGCACAGACTTGGACATTTCTCTCTCCATGTGCACAGCCTCTCCCAGCCCCTCGCATTATGAAAACATCCAAAAATCTGTAATGGGGCTAGGGCCATAGGGCTGATGATGGCTGCAGAGCCCCAGCTCCGGTCTGGCTGCTGTCACCCCCCATCTCTGCCCATCCCACAGCCCCGGGATCTCCCCCTGCCCATCGCAGGATGCGGGGCAGCGCCTCGCCCGCTCCTCAGCTGGCTGTGAGTCAGTGCAGCCCCCGCAGCAGCCGGCCTCGCTGGCACGCTGCTGCTGCCACCATCGCTGTACAGAATGTACAATTCCCACAGCCCCTCCATCTGCTGCCGCCACCACCTGCGAGTTCTTCCCTTTTCCAGCCTCGGGAAAACCCAGTAGGGATTTGGCACAGGAGAATTGTTACAGCGTGCTCATGGGCACTCTGTTCTCCCTTCCCCAGGACCCCTGTGACTCTGATCAGATAACCCTGGACCCTCCTTCCTGCCCTGACAGGGTTGGCAGAGAGCCAGGGAAGCCCACCCTGTCCAGAGCCTGGATAAACCCCTGACAATTCCTGTTCATCCTCTTTGCCCCGCTCTCCCCATGGACATCACAGAATAAAGAGAGCTGTACCAACATATTCGAGCCTCTTTTGGAAATCTTTCCCTTCTCCTGATATTTCTCCCCTCAAAGCCTCAGATCTCTGGGATAGCCTGATAATTTAGGGGGCTAAGAAGGGGGGAAACATCACAGAATGAGGAGCGTTTCTTCCTGTCCTGTGCAACAAGCTGCCCCTACTTCTGCACATACAAGCCTAGACCTGGTTCTGCATTACCTGCACAGCCAGCACACACAGCTCGGCAAGCTGGGAAAAGGAAGGAATGCTTGCATGTCGCTGTTCCGTCTAATTGGCAATTAATGCAGCCATTAGCACACACAGCACTTGGCGATTCCAAAGTGCTGTGCACACATCAGCTCATTAACCAGCAGCAGCCTGGCGGGGGTTGTGGGTTCCCCAGATCACAGGCAGCCCTGGCCTGGGAGGGGTGCCCAACCATCCCGTCCTCGGGCCAGCGTGGGGCAGCTCCAGGCTGCTGAGAAATACCATGTGCCATCAGTGCTCTTGGCAAACCCACATCTCGGTGACCTCCACGAGGACTCACCCTCTGGGAGGCTCCACTCACCTGCACTGGTGTCCTGGGAGCGTCCCCTTTGTTCTCCAGTGTTTGTTGGGAAGCATCCCTCAGCACCCGGCAGCGCCTTTGGGCTTGGCTGAGTGGAGAGACAAAATGTTGTGGGACCCCGTGCTGGGTGAAGGTGACCCAAACAGCTTGTGGAGAGCAGCACCCTGGGCATCCACCGATGACTACCACGGTGTGGGTGGGAACACTCACTTAGATACAAGTGCCTGAGTTACACATCTACTGGCATGAGCTCCACTAAACCCCCATTTTGGTTCCTGTGTCGTGGATTCAGAGCTGAGCTCCATCCCGATACTCTCACACGTGCCTTTTGCTCTGGGAGAACCCTAAACACCATCAGCTGCTGGGGACACGCAGAGTGAGTGACATCTGTGAAGCCTTGGGTGATGTCAGGGTGTACCTTAACTCTTCAGCTGCTGCTTTCAGGGCCCGATCCTTCTCCTCCACAAGGCTGGACATCTCGGATAGCTTTTCTCTGAGCTGGTTCATTTCCCACTCCCGGTGTTTCAGCTGCTTCTGGCTGTGCTCCAGCTCCACCTTCTGCTCTTCACTCAGCTCCCCTAAGCACAGAACAGCGTGGTGGGATGCTGGCTGGCTCATCACACAGTCCTGGGGGATCTGCAGCTGGTGCACCCTCATGAAAGCAACAATGAGGCTTTTCCCTGCAGAGCCCTGCCCTTGGCAGCTGCCCTCAGATCCTGAGCCATGCCAACAGGACATCCTGGTTTACTAAATCCCAGTCTCTCTGTGGAGGTACAAGCCAGGGAAATTCCTTACTGTGGCAATTTTCCTTCAGACTGAAGGAGGACAGGTCACCAGCATTTTCTGACTTGCATTTTTTGACTGCACACATTCCTAATGGGCTCTGTCCTCATGTTCACAGCCCTGCCCCTGGAGGAATCCCAGACAAGGCTTTTCTAGTCCACTGACTTGGAACATCTTCAGCTCCAACAAGTTCACCATTGTGATTTTGAGCTCAGATTTGTCTACCCACTCTCCCCCTGATTACTCTGCTTTCTCATTGTTGCTTTGATGACTTAGCCAAGGATGGGGAGAAGTTCACCTTCCCAAAGGGAACAGACTGCCTGCTTTGCCCCCAGCAGGACAACGCATTGCCTGAGAATGGTGACACCAATTTCCTGTGATCTGTGTGCTTGGAGGAGGATGGGGATGATGGCAGCTGCACAGTGCACATCACCCACCTCTCATGTCTGACATCCTGGTTCTGGTTTCTGACAGCTCCCTGCTGAGCCTGCTGATGACTGCCTTCTTCTCCAGGAGTGTGCCCTGCACCACTGCCAGCTCCTCCTGCAGTTTTCTGAGAAAGATCAATGCAGATCTCTCAGTCATTGGGAAACCTCATGGCAGGGAGCACATGCATGCCTTCCTGTGCTGCATTCCTGGTTAATATTTTATTATTTAACTCTGTTTTTACATGCCTTTTGATCTCCTTGGGTCACCCTGTGGTGCGGGGTTGGCCACACCAGTTGCTTTTACCTGGAGCCATCCAGAGGGGATGGCAGATTGTCATGTGCTATTTGGCATCACTTTGATGCTCTATGTCCGTAGGACCAGTTCAGCCTAGCAAAGGGACTCGAGTCCTATCTCAGACTGAAAAGATCTTGGGAGAAGGTGGCATTGGACTTCCTTAGGTTCTCCCAAGTGGTCCCTGCCTGTTGTGGTGTGTTTTGCTTTGAATCCATGTTTGCCCCCTGTTCTCCTCCCTAACCCCCTCCCTTTCCCAGTTGCCAATTTTCCCAAGCCCTTCCCTAACCTCCTCCCTTCCAAGCTGTCAATCCTCCCTATCCCTGCCCCTTTCTCCAGAGAGTTCTGTGTCTGTCTTGTTGCCCTCGACGCCCCATTTGTTTCTGTGTATTATCCCCCCTCTCCCATTTTCCCTGATAGGCTCATGAGCCATTTGCCCCACCTTATATTCCTCCCTTACCATATCCTCGTTGGTTCCCTTTCCTACACCCCTACTCCTGAGCTGCTCTATAAAAACTTCTGTTCACCCCTCCTCCAGTTTTGTCTGGGAGCCCAGGAATAAATAAATCCATCCTGTCCCAGCCCGAGCCCCGTGCCATCACTGTCTGTCCCTGCAGTAACTGGGATTGCAGAGCTGGCAGGAGCAGTCACAGCCCTGCCCCAGCCCCAGCATGGCGCTCGCTGCCACACCTGCCCGTCCCCAGCCTCTCTGATCACCACCAGCAAGTTCTGCTCACCTCAGACAAGCATGAGACTCCATGGCAGGACAAATCTTCAGCCAAGCTCCCGGTGTTGAGCTGTGGGCATCACACTGAAGTCCTACAGGACACAAGAAAAAAAGGCCAATTACTTCTTTGCAACACTTACACGCTTGTTGCTTCTGCTACGCAAATGTTTTCCTTCATGTGGCAGATCTGAGGGCTGAGGACTGTCTTTTTGGGAAACCCATGCCCCTCAGAGCCCAGTTCCAAGGCCAACCAGAGTATTCTTGACATCCAGCCTTGCTTGGGATTGCTTCTGTCTTGGAGCAGCCCAAAGCACACCAGTCTTGTCATTTCAGAGGGCAAAGAGCCCTTCTCCCATGGCAAAGCCCTGACAAAACCACCAAACAATGAAAAAATGTTCTCCAAAACTACCAGACAATGAAATGGCTTCTGCAGGACCTCACAGAGCTCATTGCAGGTGGAATAACCTTCATTCAACATCTTCCCAATGTTTTTTATAGCAGCAAATTCACTGTTCCATCTCCACACAAATTTCATGTTAACCCAGCCGGTTCCTGGTACAGGCACATCCCATACAACCCTTACCTACCTTCCATTTTTTCCACAAGTGCTGCCTTTTCCTCCTCCAGCACCTTCTGCTGCTGAGTGGCCTCCAGCAGCCTGTCCTCTAAAGCCAAGATGGTCAGGGAATGCTGCTTGCTCTGCTCCCTATATCCTGCTACCTCTTCTTGCAGTTTCTGCCTCTGCAACTCATTTTCCTCCTGGGCAGCCCTGAGCTGTTGGTTCTGCTGCTGTAACACTGCCTGGGAAACGAGACATGGGAGCACGGTTGGAAGCACTGGGGGTTCCTTTTGGGATCACCATCAGCATCATCTCCCCTGGACAGTGGTCACAGGAAGGGAGGGAAGGGAAGGACTGCAGGGATGGGGGAAGCCTTCTCCAGCACTGCATCCTCCCCCTGCACAGGTCAGTGCAAGTACCTTTTGTGCAGTGACTTCCTTCAGCTCGTGCAAAGCCTCTCTCAGTTTTCCCTCTGTCAGTTCCTGCTTCTCTGCCTTCTCTGCTGCTGCCTACCAGAGGAAATTAGCAGTAATTAGGTCAGCCAGGAATCCACCTTTCTTTCTGCAGAGCTGCTCTCTGTGTATTTGGGGGGGCGGGGAAACCTCTTCATCCACTGCTTTGAGCCCCTGGAGCACCACACCAGCCTTTCCCTTTTCTTCATTCCAAGAGTGAGCTGCTCTGCTGCACCTCCCATGCTCACCTCAGCCACGCTTCTTAGGTGCCTTTCCAACTCTTGGATCTTCTTCTGTTCTTCCTCCACAGCCTTCCTGCATTTGTTCTTCTCCTCAGTGACGGCGCTTTCCAGAATCTGTGAATCAACAGACCACAGACACTTCAGGGAAAAAAGACCTCAGCTCCAAGGAGGAAAGCAGCAGGGAGGCTCATTGCTCCAGAGCAGGTGATGGGAGAAAAGCCTGGCAGGACACGAGGTAACTCAGTGACAGAGAGACAGACCTGGGGAAAAGCACAGCTGAGACACTGGGTAGGAGCTGCTTGGCTGCTCCTTGCCTGAGCTCTTACAAAACTGAGCACCAGGAAACCACCACTGCCAAGGTGCCAGACACAAAAGCAGACTGGAAAGTGTCCTACAAGGCCCCCATGATCACAACACACGCATGACAAAACACCCACTCACACCCTGACTGACACTGCTTCCCACGCCAGAGCCACTGGTGCGATGGCCTGGGCTTCCCTGGGGCTGAGGGGGGACTGCTGCCCCCCTGCTCCACAGGGATATTCCTCTCCAGCCTAAAAGGAGCCCACAGGACCCCGGCATGGGGAGGGAGGGAGAGGAGGCTTGAGAGGAAGCAATGCAATGTTTCCCTGAGCTCACGGATGATGATGCTCCTTGCTTTCCCCTTTCTCCCAGAGACTGACTGGCAGCTGTGCATCCTGATGGTACCTGCAGGTGCTTCCCAGTTCCACCATGGATACTTTTGGGAGTTTACATCACCTGGATCCATATGAGAGCATACCCAGTCCCTTGGCACTGCATTCAGTTTGGAGCTAGATGTTCCTCCTCTCGTTATCCAACACTCTTATAGACATCCATGTTTCCTGCACAACATTCCTTTCCTGAAACACCAGCCATGTCACTGTACCTGTCTGCTCTCCTTGTCCTTTTCCAGGATAATGTGCTGGATTTTCATCTGTAAGTCTTGCTCATGGTTTGCTTCCAGCTCCTTTGTGTGCTCCTGCAGCAGCTCTGCCTGCAGCTCCTGGAGCTTCTCTAATTGCTCCTACAGGGAGACATGGAGGTATTAAAGGAAGTGTGTCAGCAGTAGGACAAGAAATTAACCTCCCATGTACATTCACTTACAAAAAAGTCACAAAAGAGACCTCTCCATCCTTGCTGCATTAGGAATATGGGCACACTGGCAGTGGGGTCTGCCTCCCTTACCTTACATTTCCTGTAGACTCCGGGATCTCAGTACTGCACATCCCCAGTCCAGGTGCCACACTGGCTTGCCTGGGACTGCCATCATATTTACCATAGGAAGAGTCCAAGCCCACCTAATTTATGTGCATAAATAGTTCTGTACCTGCAACATCTGATTCCTCTGTGCCATCTCCTGACTCTTTTCCAACAAGCTCCCGAGAGCAGCCAACAGCCCTGCAAAAGGCAATGGAGCCTCACTGTGTGGGGTGCTCACTCACCATATTATGCATATCCAGGAATCTTTCTTAATGAAAAGGATGGTCAGGCATTGGAATAGGCCACCATTCCTGGAAGTGCTCAAAAAAGTGTGGGGCTGTGGCACCTGGGGGCAGTGCTGGCTTAATGGTTGTACTTGGTGACCTTGGAGGTACTTTCCAGCCTTAAAATTTCCACGATTCTGTGATTTTCTCCCCAAGAAGTGGCTCATGCTGGGCTTTCTCCTCTACATCTGGCTTGCCAAGACATCCCACGTTCCCAGGGATGCCCAGCAGGACACAGACCTTTGCTAGAGGTGTGCAGGTCCATCCCTGCGCTGTCCAGGAGCTGCTCTGCACCCTCCAGCCAGGACAGGGGACCATGTGCCATGTCCACCACTGCTGTCCTGATGGCTGAGACAGAGGGATCCAGGCACAACACCTCCAGCTGCCTCAGCTCCCCTCGCAGGCTGGCACTGCTGCAGGGCCTCTTCAGGCAAGCCTGAAACAAATGGAACCCGTGGGGAACGAGCCAGTCCCCACTGTCGGTGGCCTTCAGGGACTGGCAAAGGACACAACATTTCTGAACGTCTCAGGCCAGGCTGGAAGGGGCTTGGAGCAACCTTGTCCAGTGGAAGGTGTCTCTGCCCATGGCAGGGGGTGGAACAGGATGGGCTTGATGGAGAATCTGTGACAAACTCCTGGGAAGATGAACACTAGGGATGATGCTTTGTTTCAGGGTTGTACCTTTAGTCTGACCTTTCCTCAGGCCAACAAAACACCCTGTGCCACTATCTCCCAGCTGCCATTTGGCCCTCAGTACTGAAAGGGCTGACCTGGAGCTTCTGCAGGGAGCTCTTGAACACCTCGATGCTTGCAGACACCTCTCTCTCCTTTGCGAGCCTGGAGCTTAATTCCTTCTGCAGACTCTTCTCTCTTTCATGGCTTTGCTGGTTCTCATCAGAGATCTGCCTGACCTTCTCTATCACCTGGACAAGGTGGGTGAAGAAAGAAGAGGATAAGGCTCATTCTGTTTTCCAGCTGCAGGGCCAGGGATTGAGAGAACAACTGAGACTTGCTGCAAACTGGGCTGGTCAGACTCCTGGGCTGGTCCCTGCTGCCAACCACAGCCTCCCTCTGAGCTTTGGGAGACAAAAAGAAAGGGCTGTGTCCCCTCCACCTCATGGAGTGTGCCAGCAGCTCTCTGGCCACAGAGAAAAACACAACTTACCCAGGCATCGTTCTGGGAAAGGCAGTGAGAAGATCAGAGAAGAGAATGAGAAACAATTCTTCTCTTTACTTGCTGCACCTGGTATTGTGAACATGTGGAATGTGTTATGGAGATCTGTTTACCAAAGAGTGGTTTCTTAATTAGCCAATAGTGATGGCATTTGAATTAAAAGACCATTCAATTCTACCTGTAGCAAGCTAGGGTATCAAAAGAGCAATGGGTTGCTTAATAAAGATTATTGATCAGCCTTCTGTGAATTCATGGAGTCTAAGCCAATCATTACCCAGCCCGGGGCCGGTTTGCTGTAACAACAGAGCGGTGCCATTCACCTGGGACAGCCACAGCACAAATCCTCCTCTGGAGAAGCCTGGAGAAGCCCCACTGCACATGGAGCAGGCACCACGGCCATTCTGCAGCAGCTGCCGTGAGCACTTGGGGCTCTGCAGGCTCTGAACATCTCTGTGAGCTGCTGTCTAAACTCACCTGCTGCTCTGTTACAGGTTTCCCTGTGCTGCCAGCTGCTGATGGACAACAGACTTGCATCACTCGGGTCTTGAAGGACTCCAGCTGCAGCAGGGATCAACACATGGAAACAAACACCATCAGTCACTGACAGCTGCTCTGCTGATCACTGATGGTCCATATCCAGCATGGTGTTATCTGCAAAGGGCTGTCCCTGCCCAGAGCAACATTGCCCAGGCACTGAGGAAGGCTGGTGTGGCTCCCAGACAGCAGAACTAAGATTAGAGATTCCTTTTCTGTATGCTATTAAACGGCTATGTTGTCCATGCTTCCCACACAAATTCTTTGGATAAACCTTTTATACTTCACCCAATGACAAGGTAAGTCCTGTGCCAGGGTTTGGTGCTCAGGACTCTGGGTTTCTGTTCCCACAGTACATCTTCCCCACGGGAAGCTGCATCCCTGTGCTGCCCACGGCCCCATGGTGATGTTCCCATCCCTACCTGCTCCCCAGCTCTCTGCACGTCAGATTGCAGCAGGCGCTCCCTGCGCCCCATCTCCTGCAGCTGCTCTGCCTGCTGGGCCCAGGCTGCCTTCAGCTCCTCCTCTGCCTGCAACGACAGCCTCAGCACCTCAGAGTGACATCCAAAACCACAGCATGGCCATTTCAACCACTGTGCCCATCAGACAGATCTAAATGTGCCTTTGGAGTTGTGGGAACCCAGGGCTTCCCTCTGGCTGCCCTGGGACCCTGGCAGGAGTCAGGAACTCCCCCTGGACAGAGCCCCCAGAGACACTGGCTGTGATCTCTGTCCATGGAAAAGAGTTTTCAATCTTACAGGATGAATTACCAGCTCTGAGTGTTTGATATGAGTAATAATTAAGTGTGGCACAGGTGCAAAAGTAAAATTTTAGGATTCTAGATTAGGGGTTCAAAGGGGACAAGATGGAGGAAATTGGGTGTGCCTTGTCCTTTTTCTCCTTCTTCATGCCCTCCATGTTTCACTGTGGTGTTGGCATTTTTCTGTTGGTTCAGGCTGGGGACACACTGTCCAACGTAGGTGACAGATATTGGCACGTTATTGTAAATCCAGCACAGGTAGTTTCTGGTATTTAATGTTTGTACCATCCCACTGAGGGCAGAGCCCCACACGCTGCCCTGCAGGACAGAGCTGCGGCAGAGCAGCAGAACATGTTAGAGATAAACAGAATAAACAACCTTGAAACAGCACAGACGAATTATGGCTTCTGCTTTGGCAGCAGGGCTGACAGACAGAGACTTTCTACAATCTGGGAATCACCAATACCCACAGATTCCGACATGCAGTACCATGGGACAGACAGCAATCCTGTTGCAGGGAGTGGAGGTGCAGCATTGACCCTTCATGGCACTTTTTATCTGCATTTTGTCCCTGGGATATGGTCCATCCTTGACTTCCTCAGCCAACACCCACACAGAGCACTGCCATCTGTTTCTCTCCCTCCATCAGGGTCCATGGCAGAGCTCAGGATGGTTGGATGCCCTGCCACCCAGCCTGTGCTCCCAGGGGTGGCTGGGCTCTGTCCCACCCCCCTGGGTTGATGGGACCTGCCCTCTGTGTGTCCCCTGCACCCAGCAGTACCTTGATTTTCTCAGCCAGTTGCTTTTGGACGCTCTCATGCTTCCGGATCTCCCCCTGCAGCCCCTCCAAGTCCCGCTCCAGCTCCTCGAGGCGCTGCAAGAGCCCGGGGAGGGTGGGGTTCTCACCAGGGCAGCTGGGCATTGCCCCTCTGGATGACCTCCAGTGATCAGCAAGGTTTTCTTCCCATCTAGCTCACTTTGTTTATCCTGTAATTCTCTTCTAACCTGCATTTACTGTGGTTATATCAGGTTACAAGTGGAATTCAATCTGATTTCTGGTCACATCCCCCCCAGGACCCCTCTCCCCTGCCTTCCCCTTCACGCTGTAAACCAGCATTGCAGATCCAACAGAGTTTACACTTCCCCAGGCCTTATGCCCATTATGTGCCTTTGAGGAGAGGAGCTGAGTTCCAAACAACTCCCTTAATTATCAAGTTAATTATTCCCTCTTTTAATGCGTTCCTGCAGCCACTGCTTACCTAAAGTGTCTTTTGACTCACATTTCTACAGGAGATGAGTTCTTGCTCTCCGAGTTCACGCCTTGTTTCTGCTTTAATTCTCGAGCTCTAGAAGGAATGGCAACCAAGGAAATACCCATCAGGGCAGAGAGACCATCGCTCCTGCTGTGAAGGGACCCTGGTAGAGGCTGCCCAGGCCAATGGTTGAGTTGCCATCCCTCTAAGGATTTAAAGACACTTGGGGACATGGCTCAGTGGTGGCCGTGGTGCTGCTGGGGTAACGGCTGGGCTCGGTGATCTTACAGGTCATTTCCAGCCTCAGCAGCTCTGGGATTCCCTGTCAATCCTTGTGACCTCCTGGCACACCCCAGCCAGCACAGTCTCTGCCCTTATCACGCTCCCAGTGCAGCTCTGCCAGCGGAGGAGGAGCTGCACATGCAGAGGAACAACTGCTGCACAGGGCACTTGCTTTAGGACAAATCCAGGCTGGGCCACAGGGAGTCCCAGAGCACAGAGCAGGCTTTCCATGGCTCCTGGGGAGGACGTGGCAGGAATGTTTTGTGTGTACAAACAGCTCACAGGAGTCCAGGGCATGCAGTACCTGATGCAGAGCACGGAGGGAGATCCAGCTGGGGAAGGAGACACTGATCTGTGGGCACCATGGCACACCCTGACATGGCCATGGGACCATCACCACTATATCCCAGAGATACAACTGCTACTGTCCTCACCAGAGGGAAGCATGACCCTTCTCACCTGCTTTCCCACCTTAATCCCCATGTCAAGCTGGGGGGGTCATAAATTACTGAGCCCCTAATTAGTGCTACCAACCTTGGCTGAAACCAAAGCCAGCTGATTGTCCTTCTCTCGATTTTCCTTATTCAGTTTTTCAGTCTCTTGCTGGAGCTGCTGGATTTTCTGCTCCTTTTGCAGGAGTTCTCTTTGCATGTTGCTCACCAGACCTGAGGAAAACATCTCTGGTCAGAGGTCACCCAGCTGTGACATTTAGATGGGATATTGGGAAGAAATTCTTCCCTGTGAGGGGGGGCAGGCCCTGGCACAGTGTGCCAGAGAAGTTGTGGCTGCCCCTGGATCCCTGGCAGTGCCCAAGGCCAGGCTGGACAGGGTTTGGAGCAGCCTGGGACAGTGGAAGGTGTCCCTGCCATGGCAGGGGTGGAATGAGGTGGTCTTTAGGGTCCCTTCCCACAAAGCATTTGGAATAATTTGTTGCCTGTACAGTTTGGCCAATACTTGCTCCTTATCCAGAGCCAGTCCCAAACTGCTTCATGCCCTGACCCAAAGCTCCAGGGATACAATACCTGCAGTCAAAGCCTGGTCCCTCTTCCACTTCTCACTTTCTCTCCGCAGCCTCCCGATCTCCAGGTCTCTTTCATGGAGGGAATGGCTGAAAACTTGGTTTGAGCCTTTCTTCAGGTCATTGATCTGCAAAACACAGATTTACCTGTGCTCCTCACCAGAACGTTCACTGAGTGCTACAGCCCCTCCAGAGAGGGTCATCTGGCACTTGTGGTTTGGTTGGACTGCTCTTCAGCATCTTCAAATGCCATCCTGAATGTGCTCTGGCTGTTCCTGCTGAAATCCTAATGCCAGGGGAGGGAGGGAGTGAGGGAGGAAGGAGGGAAGGAAGGAGGGAAGGAAGGAAGGATGGATGGATTTGTCCCTCATTGATTTCAGACACAAGGAAGGAAGGAAGGAAGGAAAGGAAGGAGGGAGGGAAGGATCTGTCCCTCATTTCCCTTGATTTCAGACACAAGGAAGGAAGGAAGGAAGGAAGGATGGATGGATTTGTCCCTCATTTCCCTTGATTTCAGACACAAGGAAGGAAGGAAGGAAGGATGGATGGATTTGTCCCTCATTTCCCTTGATTTCAGACACAAGGAAGGAAGGAAGGAAAGGAAGGAGGGAGGGAAGGATCTGTCCCTCATTTCCCTTGATTTCAGACACACAAACCATTCCTGCCCAAACCTGGGGTTGCCCCACAAACACACTGGTACCTGAGAAGTGTTTTGCCCTCTCAGTGCCTATGGAAGCCTCCAGTACCTGTTCCCTCAGGGCTTTGATCTCCTCTGTTTGGGCTCCCAGCTCTTGGTTGAAGGTGAGCAGCTTCTGGGTCAGCTCAGCCTCGTTCCTCACTGCTGCCTGGGCCAGTTTCTTGGCCATGGCTGCGATCTCCTCCTGCAGGTCTCTTATCAGCCCATCCTTCCCCTTTAACTCTGTTTCCAATCCAAAAAGGTGACCCATTTCCTTCTCCAGGAGCTTCTCACCCTGCTGGCAGATTCAGGTTCCGCTGGTCAGTCTGCAGCCACAGAAACTCCAGACCCCCTGCCCAGGGTACCAACTCATGGCCATCAGCAGGAGACCTTGGCTGTCCCTGCTTCCCACATCCTCCATCCTCCACTGTCCCCATCCCCTGCTTTGGTGGCAGCCCCCACACCCTGCTGGGACACAGACATTTGGCAGATTCACCTGCTGTGCCAAGGACCAGGACAGGGTCCTCCCTCCTTCCCTCCCTCCCTCCTCAGCATCACCTTCTCCCGCAGGAGGAGACCCACCTCGGGAGCCCCCAGGGAAGGGGCTCTCCCCACACTGCTTGCACCATCACCTGAGAAGCTGGCTGAGACTGGAAGAAAGCAAATTATCAGCAATGCTCCCTGCAGCACCCTTTTCCCTTGTCCCAAAACTACTCCAAGGCAGTGGCCACTATTCAGGGCATGGGCCCACTTCACAAACAGCAGAGAAACAAAAAAAAAAACCCACTTGGAGTGCTAACAGTCTGCACAGAAGAGCGAGTTAATTCACCTCTGGGAACCAAAACAGCCTAAAAGCAGCAGAGCCACAGCAGAGAGAGGCTGCCCTTATTTTCCAGCACTGGCCAGCTCCTCAGAAATCTGTGCTTTTTGTCTTCTCATGTGGGAATAGCTCTGCTTGCTGCCCTTAGGGCCTGGGGATCCTTTGGGCAGTTCCCAAAAAGAGCAGTTTGTGCTACCCTGGGGTTGTGTGTCCCTCCCTTCAGCCTCACTGCAGTTTTCCAGTTCAGCACTGGCACTGCACAGTGCTGCCTCCACTCTGCCCTTTGGCACCTCACTGCTGACTTGGTGTTGCTTATGACAGCTCAAAAATCCCAAGCCCACAGCAGGAAAAGCACAGCACTGTGCACCAGGCCACAACATCCACGGCAAATGTCTCATTCTCCAGCCCAGACCCTCACTCTGTCCTGCTCTATCACATACTTTATTTCCAGAGGTGCATTGCATACAGAGCTATTTTAACATGCCTTCACTCGAGGCAGCAGCTCCAAAGGAGATAAAGAAACCACTTCAAATAGGAGCCAGTGGTGCAGATAAAGTCATGGCCCTTCTGGGTCCCACACCAGGGAAAAAAAGAGGGAATGTCTCTCTGCAAGGGCAACAGCATTCCCCTTGGGATGTCCCAGCTCATTTCTTCCCTGACCCAAATGCCACCCAGGACCAGACATGGATTTTGATCAGCTCCAGGGGACAAAGACTCACACCCAGTAGCTCAATGGTTGTCACTTTTCTGCTCCAACCAAGTGGCACCAGGACACAAGTGGCTGTTTTTGGCATCATGGGAGTACCTGGCCTGACCACAGGGGTCCTGCTGGAGGTGTCCAGAGAGGTGGCACTGGCTGTGCTTCTGTCCCGGGCGCTCGCAGCTCTCCTTGGCAGCACCAGCTGGGGCACGGGGCCGGGGGCTCTGGGGCTCCCAGTGCCCAGGGAGCCGGGGGGAAGCTGCCCCTGCAGCGAGGGCAGGCACAGGGGAGACGCAGGAGTCCAGGGTTTGGGGTCTGCAACCACCTGGAGCTGCCCACTCCACCCCATGCGACGCTTCAAGGGGGGACAGGACATCTACAGGGGGAAAACACCAAGTTATCTGCAAGATTTTAGGAAATATTTTAGCCCTGGATTCATGTGCCCCATGCTGTGGAAAACCCAGGCACAGATCTCAGCAGAAGCACAATTTTAGTTTTCTCCCACTTCCATTACGCAAGGATCAGATTTTAATCAGGGCATCCAGACCTTTGCTGAAACAGAAGGAAATGATTGGGGTTTTTGAGCTTTTTGTGCTTTTTGAGCTTTTCATTCTCTATCTTTCTGCCCTAATTCTGCACATCATTTGCACAATCCAGCAGCACTCCTTTCACAGCTCTCCTGGCTCACACATGGTCCTGTCCCATTTGTTTCTCCCATTCTCCCAGACAAACCAAAGCCTCTCATTGTGTTCCCATCAGCTGGGCCTGTCAGACTGGGAATTAGGACACTGTGTGCTGCTCTCCTGATGAGCAGAGCTTTCCAGGACAGCGGGGACCAGCCACCACCCAGGTCTCAGTGACAAGGACTGCATTAAACATCTGCCAGCAGGGCTGGACCTGGGTGTGGGTCCTTCAACCCCCGGCTGTTAAAGGAGCCCCAGACCCCAGTGCAGGCTCCCTGCACCTCCAGCACCTTCCCTTCTCCCAGGGCACATCCCAGCCCTGCTGGTTTTGCTCATGCTGCTGCCACTGGCACAAAACCCTGACAGAATCCCTGTCTGGGCACAGCAGGGTGTGATTCCCAGTTGGGTGTGCTCCACTGCACAGCACCTTCCTCTCAGGAGCAATCCCTGCCCTGGTCAGACACCTCACAGCCGAGGCTGTTCCCTCCCTGCAGGCAGCAGGGCCAGGCTTCAAAGCTGCCCCTCCAAAGGAGGGTCCCAGGGCACCCCAGGGACAGGCTCTGCATCTGTGCAGACCCGATCCTGTGCTCACCTGCCCTTGGGAATCCAACTGCTCACTGCTCCAGCACCATCTAGCTTTACCTAGGCAGCACCTTGGATTCTCCAAGAGCCAAAATGATAAAAATATTACTGGGGATTATCAGTTCCTCTATGTTTTGTTTGAAACCTAGCTTCTCTCTTGTTAAGTGGCTTGGGAGAAAACATAAAATGCGAATTGAGGGAAAGGACATTTCCCAGGTTTTCTTTTGCTAATGCATCTCTGTCCCATGCTTTTCAATTTTCCTACCGAGCTGCCTGAGTTTCTTCAGCAGAGGGAGCTCCAGCTTTTCATTTCCTCTTCCCCCGTGACAGGAAAAATGTGTGCTAATGTCTTTACAAATAATTTGATGCGTGAAGGTATGGGTGTTAAAGTCTTTGAAATGGGTCTTAATGTCTCTACTGACTTTGGGCAGTGGGTTTGTTGCAGAGCCCAGACAGAGCTCCTGAGATAGGGAGCACAAGCCAAACTTCTGAACTTCGGGGTAAAACTGTGAGTTCAAGCAGGGGTATGTGGTAGGTGGCTCGGGAAGGCTGAACCTTCTCAGCACCTCAGCCCGGGGGAAAGAAGGACAACATGTGGCTGGGAGTTTGGGATAGAAGGAGGCTGCGCCCTCCGAACCCCGAGAGAGAGAAAACCCCAGGGGCATATGCCCTGTTGGAACTCAGAATGTCCCTCAGACATTTTTGGAGGTTCCAGGCCCTGGTCAGAAAGATTTGAGACCCTGGCAGGCAGCTGGAAACAGCTGTGATTTTGTGTTTGAGCCATGGAATGAGTTACCAACTTTGAAGGTGGAACAAGCAGTCACAAAAGTTTAGATATTAGAGTAGAAGTAGTTACAAAGTAGAGGGGAGAATATTATAGTGTTGTACAGGGGGGTTTTAACACCTGTACAGGGGGGGGTTTACTTTGTACATGGGGGTCAGAAGTTTTAAGATGGAGGAATGTAGGCCAGTCCTGTTCCTCCTCTTTCTTCTTCCTTACCTCCATGTTCTTGGTGATGTTGGCACTCACAGGTTGGTTTAGAGTAGAAAAGCACCATTTAATATAGGTAATAGGCATTGGGGAAAAACTGTACCCATGTAACACGTAATGTACCATATAAAAGATAGAAAAGCACCATTTAATATAGGTAATGGGCATTGGGGAAAAACTGTACCCATGTAACACGTAATGTACCATATAAAAGACAGCAGCAGCCCTGGGCAGAGGGGGAGAGAAGAAGCAGTCGGGAGTCAGAGAGGATGTCAGGGTGTGTGTGTGCCTCTGCCTGAGCTGTGAGCAAACCACAGCAGCTCCAGGAGAAAATCTTTTAGATAACTTGCAATAAACTGCCTTGAGACCGAACAACAGAGACTGCTGAGCCTTTCTTTGGAAGCTCAGCTTGGAGGAGAGACTTTTCCACCACACGGAGCCCCTGAACCAGGCCGGGGTTCCGACAGAGCCCCAGTGGACTCTCTCCCTTTATTGGGAGAATAATTCATCTGGGAGATAAATTGAGGATACTGAGATGCCTGAGCATGTCCACAGGAGAGCAACGAGGCTGGTGAGGGGCTGGGAACACAAGCCCTACGAGGAACGTTTGAGCGAGTTGGGGTTGTTTAGCCTGGAGAAGAGGAGGCTTAGAGGTGACCTTATTGCTCTCTACAACTTCCTGAAGGGAGGTTGTAGACAGGTGGGGGTCGATCTTTTCCACCGGGCAGCAACTGGCAGAACAAGAGGACACAGTCTCAGCTACATAAGGGAAGGTTTAGGTTGGATATTAGGAAAACAAACTTTCACTGAAAGAATAATAAAATACTGGAATTGTCTTCCTATGGAGGTGGTGGAATCACCATCTCTAGATATGTTTAAAAAAAGACTGGACTTGGCACTTGATGCTATAGTCTAATTGTGGTGATAGAGCATAGGTTGGACCTGATTATCTCAGAGGTCTCTTCAAGCTCATTATTCTGTGATTCTGTGTGATTCTGTGAAATTGGGGGAATTATTTATCTGAATGAAGATGAAGGATTCCTCTGTTTCCTTTTTGGACATAAACCTCTGGTGTTTGTGGATTTCCCTGGACATCCCTATCCACCCTTGCCCAGGCATCCTTCCATGGGCCATAGCATCCCCCCTTCCTTGGGCACCTCTCCCCGGGCATCCCCACCCACCTGGGCAGCCCCATCCAGCACCAGCTGGAAGGTCGCTCCCGCGGCGCCGAAGCTCAGGATGTCCCCCGGCCTCACCCTGACCGACGCGTTTTGGACCTGGCAGCTGTTGACAAAGGTGCCGTGGGGGGAGTTGAAGTCCTGAAGGATGAAGCTGTTGTCTGAGGCGGAGAATTCCAGGGCTGCATGACGATCTGCTACCCCTGCAGCCTGGGAGCAGGCAAGGGACAGGCAGGGAACGCTGCTGGAGGTGGCTCCAGGTTCATCCCTGCTTTGCCAAGCCCCTTTTCTGGCCGTCAATCCCAGCATAAACTGGTACCTCAACGCTCTGCACGGAGGATTGCAGCACATCCCCTTCCCTTCCCTTCCCTTCCCTTCCCTTCCCTTCCCTTCCCTTCCCTTCCCTTCCCTTCCCTTCCCTTCCCTTCCCTTCCCTTCCCTTCCCTTCCCTTCCCTTCCCTTCCCTTCCCTTCCCTTCCCTTCCCTTCCCTTCCCAATTTGGGATGCTCGGCTGCCTCGGCCTCACCTGCAGGACGATGTCAGCCCCTCTGTGGCTCCCGATGGTGGTGGTGGAGGATTTCAGCTGGAAACACCTCTCCAGGCTCTTTAGGAACGCTGGCATTGTTGGCAAGGCTTGCACCAAAAGAACAATTTCAGTCAGCAATTTCCCCCCTCCTGAGCCCCGAGCAGCTCTGCAGCTCAAACAGAAACCCCTGTACAAACCGATCCCAAAAGCAGCCGTGTCCCAGCTGCCAGTGTGGCTGAGTAGCCTTGGAAACCTCGGCCACGCCGGGCCTGCTGCTGCCTGCCTGGTCAGCTTTTCCTCTTCCATTTGTTTAGTGTTTTTTTTTCTTTTACTTCCCTTCTTTTTCCAAGCAACTGTCCCAGCAGCACAACACAGCTCTGCGCCCGTGTGGCCACAGTGATGCCATCAGCGGGGACACACGTGGGAATGTGTATCCCAAACCCCACAGGGGCCCTGCCACCTGCTAGGACTTTTTGCCCTCATTTTACTTATTTTTTTAAATTTCATGTCACACACACACACAGAGAAACAGGTCTTGGAACCTCAGGGAAGGGGATGAACATCACTGTTATGTGGATGCTGTCCCCCATCAGCACTTTGCCATCAATATTTCTTTGTCCTAGGCTGCCATACCCCATTTTTCAACAGACTAGAAAGGAAAAAAACCCCACCTGCTATCAATACCACGTAATTTGCCCTCACCAGGCCTGCAGGATCTCATCATGCTCCTTTTTGAGGTAGAAGTAGCACATTTGGCAAATTAGAGCTTCTCTGAATACTTCTACCAGTTTGAAGCCATTCTTTTGTCCTGTCACTCTGTGTTCTTGTATTAATCTGTATTGAAACTGATGTCAAATTTTACTCTCAAATGACTGATATAAATAACAAATATAGTTGTTGGCTTTTGCACTTATGCAATAGTATTTGTTTTGCAAGGTATTATTGAGCACAAAAATCCTGATATAGTACAACTTGTAATTACTGCTTTTGACATAGTATAATCTGTCAGTTTATGTATATACACCATATAGCTTTTATAAACAGTAGTGCAATATATCCTATTGTAGACTGTAGTAAAATAGAGACTGAAATGTTAAAATGCTTTTTAATGTAACTAACTCAGAAAATGGTGTGAAATAATTAGGTGATTTCCCACATTTGGGACTATCTTATCTGAAAGACAAGATAACAGAAACACAAACCAGAGCACCGAAAAAAAGAATTTATTGACCCTCATTATCAGGGAGTGAAAATACAACAGGATGGAACCACAAGAAAAAATACAATATATTGGTTTAATCTACAAGATGGCATGAAGACAAGTCAAAGATTAAAATCAAGCAAAAGAACATCTATAGTCAAAGGAATGTTTGAATATGTATAAACTCTTATGAATATGCATGTACCACCTGTAATGTAACAGTATATAGAGAACATGGTTTAAGTTAACCCTGTGATCTTGGCAAACAGCCAAGCACTCCAGCGCTGGATTTTATCCCATAATAAACTTTTATAAAAATTTTAAACAGTGAGCCGTGTTTCTCACATGACTAAGCTGCACAGAAGTGTATCTGAGGACGTGTAACTGAAAATAAGTAATGCTATGAAGCTGTAATAAAGATTTTTCTTTTTGTTCCCTCTTACTTTGCTGTGATTTACTCTTTTTTGTTTGTGTTTTATGTTGACTTTGTCTGGGTCTCTCCCTGTCTCTCTTTTGCTCACTCTCCTGCCTCTCAGTTTCTCTCCCTCTCTCTTGGCCATCTTTGACCTGCTCTCTCTCCACTTCTCTCTCTCTTTTCTTCTCTTTCCTCTTTGCTTTGCTCCTTTTACTCTGTCTTTTGTCTCCTTTTACTTTCTTGTCTTTCTGCTTGTTTTCTCTCTTCCCTCCACCTCAGATATTCTGTCCTGTACCTTTTCCAAGGGATAAACCCACATACACAGAAGTAGAGTCTCGCCACCAGCTGCAGTTGTGTAATGCACTGGACCAGCACCTGAGCATCAGTCAGAGGTGTCATAGGTACATATTATAATACTGGTTTTTTGCAAATATCACAATGGATTTATATGTGTAGTGTTAAAGTAACTTTGTTCTAAAGATATAGCTTTTATTCCTGCTGTTAAACAAGCTTAGTGAAATAGCTGATATAAGTAGGCTTGTGTTAAAATGCCTGCTGGGATGGGATAACATCCAATGAACAAATGAAGGAGACACCTGCCACAGATCTGCCAACTATCAGCACTCACCATCTAAAAACAGTGGGACCAAGGCCCAAAACCTGGAGGTTATAAGAATGGCCTAAAAGCACAACCGAGGAATCTGCATGCTCTGAAAAGGTGGATCCAAGGAGGAGCCATGCTAAACAGTTCTTGGAACAGGTAAAGCAGTTTGGGGAGGAGTTTACTATGCATAAGGTCTATGAATATGCAACTGATGTTAATTAAATATGTAACTGATGTGAATAGGCTGATGTAAGGGAAAAGGCATTTAAGTGGTATCCCCGAAGATAACAGTGTACTCTTGGGCCATAATCTTTGCTTTACTATCTTTGTCTCCTACTGTTCTTTATTAAACTTTTAAAATTTTCACAGCAGAGTGAAGGTGTCTTTCACACTAGAATCCCTGAACCCCTGGGTTGGAAGGGACCTGGAGAATAACCTATTTCCAGCTCCTATTTCCCTCCCTGCCATGGGCAAGGACAGGCTGCTCAAAGCCCCATCTAACCTTGTCTTGAACACTTCCAGGGTTCCTCCTGTCACACTCCCCTGGGCAGCCTGTGCCAGTGCCTCACCACTACCACAGTAAAGGATTTCTTCCCAATATCTAATGGAAAACAATCCTCTTCTACCCTAAAGCCCTTGTAAGAAGCCCTTCAACTCTCTCTCACAGACCCATGAGGCACTGGAAGGCCACAATAAGAATCACAGAAAATGTCTGGAGCCTTCCCTTCTCCAGGCTAAACAACTCCAAATCTCTTCTTCTATAGCAGAGGTGTTCCCTCCCTCAAATAATTTGTGGTCCTTTCCTTCCCTTCACACCCTCTGTCATAAGAGGAGCCAAGTAGCTGTACTAAATTTTGATAGTTTTTGATGTCTCTTGACATTAAATTGTGAATTTAAGATTTAAAATGTGTTCCATTTATAGAACTCCAAAAAGGCTTCTGACTTCAGACAGAACAGTAACATTCCAAAAAAACTACATTAAGACAAACAATAAGAGTTGTTAATTAGAAGGTAGGATAAGTAGGGAGAAGATTTAAATTGACAGTAAATGCGTTGTTATGTCTAAAATCAGAGATTATCTTCATCTTTAAAGCCTTTGAATTTGCTTTTCTGTTCCTAATTTAAAAAAATTATTATTTCTTGTATTCTGGAAATCTTTCTCCCAGGCACATGATCCATAGGAAAAAGAGGCAAAGAAGCAAAAGAATGTCCACACTGCAGATGTGGACAAACAACTTGCTCTTCAGAAGGAGGAGGAAGTGGAAAATAAATTAAAAAAGCTGAAGGTGCAATTAGCTGTTTGACTGTTTACTACCTCACGTGAAAAACTACAGAGAAATGGAAAATATATCCTTGTCAAAGCTCTGTTCCTTACAAAACTGACTGCACTTAGAAACAAGACGAGGTGAATTTCTTCTGCAAAACAGTGTTTGGCCAATTGAAACTGGCAGTTCAGTAGTTTTCTATTTATGCTAATTTAACTTCAAAGAGAAACAAGTCTTTATTTTCTGAAATAGGGGATGCTATCAGAACAAATTACAGGTGCTTCACAAGAATTCTTGGGGTGATTAAAAAAAACAAAAAAGACTTAAAGCCAGCTTCTCCCTCCAACATTGTGGGCAGTTCCTAAATAAATACAAATAGTTGCCCTAAATAAATGAGAACAGTTCCATGCTTTTCACTTGTTTAGAAGGTGGGTGGTGAAGTTCCCTGCCAGGATTTGATGTCAGAGAGGCCAATACAGGCTCAGAGCACGGAGTCATTGACACTGAAGGGACTTCTGGAGATCTTCCAGTCCAAGCCCTTGTGCAAACCTGAGCAGATTGGTCAGGGCTCTGCCCAGTCATTTTTTGAGTCTCTCCAAGAAACCAGACATTTGCAAGTATTTGTTCTTATCCCATAAATATTCTCTAGAAAGTGGACACATTAAAATTATATTTTAGTACCAGTACCGTATGGTAATTTGCTGTATTCACAGAATACCCAAAAGCAAACGAAATAGATTTGGTATTTGAAAATGTTCCACATTATCTACATGCAAGGACATAATTTTTAATGAGAATGCTATTATGTTGTCACAATTATTTCAGCCTGAGGAATAATTTATTTAAGGTTGTGATTTATCAGGGGTTTTAGAGTCAGGAGCTGCAATTTAACCAGGAGTATGTTAATCACAAATAGATCCCAAGCTGCATGTTATAGGCTTCTTATTGGTCTTCCTTGAATAGCAGATGATGAGACACACTTGGTTTGTTGTATGTTGCCATTTAGAGAAACCTAGTATTAAATATATTATTAAATACTAGTGTTAATACCTAGTATTAAATATTAGGGATTTAATACAAATACTGAATTTAATTAATTTAAATTTAATGTCAATTAATTTAATACTTAACTAATATTTTATTTAACATTAATATTAATTAATCTAATATTTATTTTAATATTTATCTAATATATAATCAATATTTAATATTAATTAAATACTTAATACTAGTTAAATAGCTAAATAATAGTACTAATTAAATAATTAATACTAATTAATACAAATTATTAATACTAATTTAATACTAATGCCACTAAATACCTAGCATAAAATATCTAGTTTTAAATACTACTGTCACATTATGCTCATGTAGCTGTGGACATCATCAGGCCCTAAATAATATAGAATTTCTGCTCATATTAATTTATGCATTACAAATGGTTAAGTCTCTCATTTTCGTATATAGAGAAAAGTACTATTAATTTATATACTAATTGATTTCAAAAGAAGAATATACCTATTATATACAATATTTTAGAATATATTAAATTATCAATATAATTAGATAGGGTTTGGAAACAGAAACGTAACTTTTCTATATATAAATTAAAAAAAGGCTTGAAAATGCAAGAGATAATCTATATGAGGGAAATAAAAATAGTGTGTGTTTACCTCTGTGCCCTGCTCACTGCC